GGTCTTGACAAGACACAACCAATGGAGTATCTAAAATCATCAGAAGGATATTGACCAGGGTCAGATGTATTTCTCCATCCACCCCTTTCGTCATTCTGAATTCTGTAAACTTAGGTGGGCACTTTCTGAAGTATGAAGAATGAACTCAGTGAGATCCTTGTTCACATGATGACAAGACAGACTGAGAATAACAACTGCAACCACAGCAGGAGATGCCTGAGCACTTCCTGTGTGTGAGCTGGTACCCCACACTCCTCCCTGTGATGCTCAGAAGTGGGCTGCTTTCCCCAGCATCTTGCAAAGTAGAAGTATGTCCCTGTCCATGGTATTCTGGAGTAGCTTTCATGTTATGTTGATATCCAGTCATCAGGTACTCAACCAGGACTGTACACACAAAAGAACCTGAACTTGAACCCACCACTGTAGCCACAAAGCATTTCCTCTTTGTACCAGGCACCACTCCCTCTCACACAGCCATAGGGATGCTCAAGGATGAGTGGAAGATGGGAGATAAATTGGTCCACAGAAGAGGATGTGAGTCCTGTGTTTGGTCAGAAGAGAAGGCTCATGTTCCTCTATTTGAAGACAAATTGCTTAAAACAGATTATATCAAATATTGGTGTAAGTCTGATCATACTTAAAATGCTCAGTGACTTAACTTGAATTAACTCCTTCCATCTTCACAACCACCCATTAGAGGGTGGTTATGCCATCTTTCCCCATTTGCTCATGAGGAACCACCCATGCTGAGGCCAGGGGAGAGGAGCTGGGATTCAACCCAGGCTTTCTCTCTCCAAGCCTGGGCTCTTAGCCATCACCTCACAGTGTTTTAAAACACTAGTTTATAATCACAGTGTCTATACTGAGAGCCAGTTGGAGGTCACACTGTGCCAGGACTTATTGTGTGTAACTCGTTTACCTTCATAAAAGCCTAAAATTAGGTATTACCACCTCTACTTTCCAAAAGGAAATGTGTTTTAAACTTACATCTGTCTGTTCCTGAGGGCTGATAACGTTTGGCCCCTACTCAACACTGACTCCTATACTTTCCATAGCAAAATATTGAAGAAGGATGTTGGGTAGAATTGGGCTGATTACCTCACTTTCACCACACTTGCACAGAAGGTGGTAAACAACCAAATAGGACTCTCCATGCGGACCCTGGCATATGCTTCCTGTTCCAGCCCCTGGCAGAGAGTCTCGCACATGGGGGGCTCTTGACAGTTATGGAATGGTCTAACTAAAATGTGTAGAAACAGGGTAAGTTATAAGAACCTGAGTTTGTGTGTTTTATATTGCAGGCATCATCACAGTGAACTGCTTAGATCCCTGGCCCAGATGAAAGGTCCAGACCTTGGCAAAACACTGTCAGCCCCTGCAGGTGAGTGCCAACCCCCTTGTCTACAATGGGGGTTAGAGTGAGAACTCATGAACCTGTGGGGTTTGTCTAGCCCTCTCAGCATGGACAAGGAATTTGAGGCCTGCCTGCCTGGTAAAGGAAATATTTACAAGGTCAAAAGGTCATATCAGACAACCTGCCACCACCCCACCCCCTGCCCAATAAATTGTGCTAATTTGAGATATGCTGCCCAAAGGAGCTTAGCTATCCTGTGACTTACACTTGTGACAGGGAGGGCCACACAGGGACAGACTAGGGGATGGTGCTGGGCTTCTTCAGCAGCCCTAGCCTTTTGAATTCAAACTGATGAAGTTCGGATAGAGGCTAACACTTCCTAGCAACCACTCAGTGGTTTCCTCCTCTGAGGAAACTCGTTTTTAGGAGAACCTGAAGTCGGTCTGGATTACCTACTTGATTTGCACGCCAGGTTTCTCCCTTGTCATCTGTGCTTGACAGAGGTGTGTTGCCAGTGATTTTGGAATGAGAAGCCCTGGCATCCAGAGTCACAGGCATGGCCCTCTCTTGCAAATATACAGGAGCACAGAGTGGGTATGGGGGGGCAAGATGTGATGAGAGCTGGGAATCACTGGTCCCAATGGCCAAAACTCCAGCAGACCACTGTACAGGTTTCTATGGCAGGATCCCCAACTCTAAGATCAAAAGGAACTCTTCAGGACTGTCAAGGATAAATGCACCTCACATGGTTTCTTCACTGCAGAACTTTTCAGACCCTTTACCATGTTCGCGTGCAGTGTGACTTAGTGAGAAAGAGACAAAGCCTATCGCTTTTTAGCTGTGGCACCCCTCTAGTATCTGTCAGTGCTCAAAGCTAGGACTCTTGGAGTGGTCCCAAACACTCTTCAGAAAGAACTTGAAAATGTCATTAGGTCCTAAAGTTGCCACGTAGTCCTCAGACATGGTCAAAGGAGCACACACAGCAGAATTTCCTGTGAGGCTTGTTTAAAATATAAATTGCCAGGCCATTCTTCAGACCTCCTGAGTGGGAAAGGCTCCAGGAGTCAGATGTTTAATGAGCAGTCTGCTGTCCACCTGTGTGGAGCCCCTACATGGGGATGACGATCTAAGGAGTCACTGGGCCTCTAGTACAGTCCTCATCCGTAATAGTTACTGTATTTTTCTGGACCCTTTGCCTGCCTCTCCTCCCCTTCCAGCCCCAGTCATGGACCATGAACATGGTACCCTGTGCTCATGTCAGCTGCAGACACTGTCAGCCCAGCCCTTGCCCTTAGCTGGACATGGCTGTGGGTAGAGGGGAGTGCAGGCATGAATGGAGAAGACTGCTTGGTGAAGGAGCAGACAGCTGTACCCACACTTGCAGGACAAGCGGATTGTGGAATGTGGGGGTATTTCAAGGCAGAGTGGGTTACAAGATCAGGAAACATCATCATTATGGGCCACTGTGGGCCTAGGAAACACTATGGAGCCCAGAGAGAGGCAAGGGCAACCAGAGTGCAGTAAGGGATGGCACACTGAGGCCCTGCCTTTTACACTGCCTCTCTGCAGAGGCTTACTGCAGATGCTCTCCTGACTCTGCCTGTAACCCTCCCTCCCTCCTCTCCTTCCTGCTTCTCTGATGAAACCTTATCAGTCTTGTAAGGCATTCAGAACCCACCTTCTCATTGAAGCCAGCTGCTAAGTTCAAATGGGTTGCCCCTCTGCCACAGCTCCCCACTGTCTGTTCCCTGTTTGTCTCTCTGGGAACTCCCAACACTGCTTGACCCTACATTTGGATTCTTTCTGCCTATTCAGACCATAGTCCTATTTGCCTTGTTCTGTGCTAAAGTAACCGAATGAAAGGAAATGGACTGAAGGATGGGCTTTTTGTTTACCCAGTTCCTCTTCTAGGAATCTAGCTAAGAAAGTAATTAGAAACAGGAACAAAGATTTATGCAGAAAGATATTTATCACAGCAGGGTTTTTTGGTTTGGGGTTTGGGGCTTTTTAATATTTAATTATTTTTATTTTATGTGTATAAGTGTATTGCCTACATGTATGTAAGTACACCTGTGCCATGCATATGCCCATGGAGGTCAAAAGAGAGTGCTGGATCCCCTGGAGCTGGAGTTATGGATGGTGGTTAGCCCCACCATGTGGGTGCTGAGAACCAAACACGGGACCTCTGAAAGAGTAGCCAATGCTCTTAACTGCTGAACCATCTCTCCAGCTCCTTGCGTTTGAGTTTTCGCAAAACTGAGGATTGAACCCAAGGCCTCATACTTGCTAGGCAAGCATTGTACTGCTGAGACACAGTCCTAGCCTTTTTTTATTTTTTATTTTAAGACAGGGTCTCACTAAGGTGCCCAAGCTGACCTTAAACTCCCTGTATCTCAGGCAGACCTTAAACTTCCAATTCTTCTGCCTCAGCCTCATGAAGAGCTGGAATTACAAGCCTACACCACCAGGCCAGCTCTCATAGCAATTTTTATAATGGCAGAAAATAAAAACAACTTCAATGTTTAAATATTTTTAAATACAGAATAAATCACACTGTATACATAGGATAAAGAATCTACTTCAAAAGTTTTAATAAAATGTAGAAACACTGAAAAATGGGGGAAACACACAACACTGTATATATAATTTCAGATAAAAATGAATATAATTTCATATTTTTATGTGTCTAAATATAAAAGCCTAAGCAAATACAACAAAGTGCTAATGGCTTTAGAAACAAGAATCCCGCTTGCGGTTGCTGTTTCTGTTTTCTGTTTTAAACATTTACAGTTTCCGTGTGTTCCATGCTGAAAACATATTTCATGTTTGTAATCAGAAAGGAAAATGACTAGAGCAGTTTCACATAGGAAGATGGGCTTTTCTCAGCGGAAGCTTGGGCTTTGATGCCATGACACGTGTGTTAACATCCTGTAGGCTGTGTCTGTTACTGTGTGTGTTATCATTTTGTTGTCTCTGGGGTGGCAGATTACACACTGACACTGAGCTCAGCACTGGTGGTGGCCAGAGCCAGGCTTCACCATCACGTCTATGATTTGTGGTCCTCCTTGGATTCACCTGGCGTCGGTTGGATTGCTGTGATCTGGACATCTTGGGTGACACACTGGATAGATGACATTGCTAACCCTTCAACAGCAGTCAATCTGGCTCTCCTTTCTGGAAGGGCTGAGCACAGCGCGGAGGATTCCCCTTCCCTAGAAACAGAAGGAGCCCAATGTCTCTTTCACCCTGAATGGTTACTTTAAGTGCTGCCC